TATGAATCCTTATATTCTAATGAAACAATTGAAATGCACTATCATCTCCGGCAACTCGTTGGCTTCGACAATTTACGCTTCTGGTAAAAAATTGAGTGCTGACGGATTCGGGGGGAGGGGAGGGACTGGGGATCATGCGACGCTTTGCTCTTTATTGAGTTGACTAGAGAAAATAGTGTTTTCTCTCATTTAAAAAGTTGCTCTATATATGGAACGTTATAGCGATAAAATATTTCGTCTCTTTCATCAGAGATTCCTATGTAAAAAAATCAAGGAAATGATTTATTTACTATTCGATTCCATATGGCACCTTCAAATTTATTCCACACGAGTGTGACCATATGTTCTCGAATAATCGAAGACATATATGAATATTTTGAAAGTAAATGAATAGTTTTTTGTTTCGTGTTGTATTGATTTGGAGATAGTTCTACAGTAGGATTTTATTGGATCTGGACAAAAGCACTGAATGTTTTTGAACAGCGTCCATAAGACAACAGCCGGGCTCGTAGAAGGTACACCGCTTATTTCTTCCCTTTCTCTGTGATCCTTTTGTTTCTTGGCTCAGTTCGCCTCCCTGTAAAGCCCCCTTCGATATTCTCAGATCAACAAATATAGCTAATCTAGTAAATGCGTTTTCTTGTTGGAATTTCCAGGTGTTTTACAGATCAGTGTGAAGAATGCATTGATGAGTATCGTCATTCCTGTTACCGAGGACCTTGCAGATGTAAGAGAAATGGAAGTGTATGGTGGTGCATAGAAAGAGAAGAGCGATGGAGGCATGAGTGGAAACAAAATATCTCTCATGTATTCTTGCATTGTGTTTATGCTGAGGTGAGTAAAATAGAAGTGACTTTTTAATATCATGGGATGAAACTGAACATTTTTGTCATTCCTTACTACTTATTTCAGAAGTGGAATTTCTTTGCCTTCGAATGATGTCAAGATGAGTAGCAGAAATCCGCGAGTTAGTCGGGAATAAAAGACCAGTAAAGCAACAATCAACAGCTCGAAAAAACAATGAATACGCAGGTAATCACCATTGCTCTTCGCATCACCACAAGAGGACTTAATGAGTGCTGCGTTAAAATCTGCGTGGAGGAGAAACCCTGAATGTGTACATTGCTAGAGATAGTATGCTCCAGTCACTCTCACGCTTCCCGATCGCTTCCTATTCGCGACGGAATTAGACTCGTCCATGTCGAGGCCTTGCCCTCTGTGGCCACGCCCATCCGAGTATCTAAACGCTCGCACTCATAAAATGTTGTTTGTTTTGGAGAGATATTCAGCTTTGAGAGTTAGTTGGGGATTTTGGAAAATAGATGCGAGTTTTTCTGGTTTAAGCGCCGGTAATTTCTTACAACCAATTGTTTCGAACAGATTCGGAAGAAGAAGGAGATTTACCTACTTAACATCTCTCCGAAGCTTCCGTGTACACAAAATGAATACGTCGGGGATTCATTGGGGAAAACTCCGAGCTGCGCAAAAAACCCTTTCCTGTGCACCATTTTGAGCGGGCATAGTTGAATGCACAAGAATGCTTCCAGAACGGATCTCTTCGTGAACAGAACTAAGCAGTGGTTAATTTAGTGCCCATTAGCTCCATGTCTGGATGCGCCATGCATAATGCTGCCACGCAGAGGTAATGGGATTATGAAACTTTTACGTAATGACGGCCAACGCGAGAACGTGTGTTCATTGGTTTCAAAAAGGTCAAGCCTGCCCACAAACTTGTTCAAGTTGCACTGTTTAGTCATCTATATACCTACGAACCTATGATGACTTATTAAAAGTATTAGTTAATAATTTTAACTTTTTTGTAGTGCCACTGACACCTTTTGATCCTCTCATTATGACTCCCTCCACCTCAACGGCCATGTGCGACCCCCACCCAGGACAAACCCAGGCACGCCATCGTTGTGATCATCACAACGATGGCGCCCGGGGGGTCGTATTTGCCCCCGATGGAAGGGGGGGGTCGTAAAAGCTAATAGAAGTTTGGAAGGAACCCCAGAAAAGAGTGCCTCATGCAGTGAGCGGCTTAACAACAGTTCAAACAACTGTCGCCTAAACCTACACCTGGAAAAAATGCCGGACTCTAAAACGCAATTTCCTGATGCTGATAACATTTTAGGTGCTGCAAAACAAAAGCCGAAGATGATGACGAGGGCCAGAACTCAAGAGCAACTGTGCTGCTTCTGCAATATCCCTCAGAGGCCGCGCATTCCCACAGAACATGACAATAAAAACGGCCTAAGCGTCCCACGTTAGTTTAATACAAGCAAAACGCAATTTCCTGATGCGAATAACATTTGAGGTGTTGCTCATGCTTCAAGTCCGAATAGAAGGGTGATGAAGATGACAAAGGCTAGAAATGAAGAACAACGAATGTAGATGTAAATAAAACAAAAATGAAAAAGTTAAGGAAACGCAAATCAACAAAATCGCGTGTAATTCCTTCAGTTCGGCGCGATTCCGGCTCCAAAGCCATAGAAATACTTTAAACTTACGAGTGGGACGACGACGACTAAAACCAGATTCAGGTGTTGCAAACAAAAGCCGAAGATGATGACGAGGGCCAGACAAGAGATGAAGATGAACAAGAGAGATGAAGTAAATCATCATAATCGTAGGCAATGCATGCTAGTTGTTCGCGGTCAGCCGCACGCGAGGAGTGCAATTCCCACGCTAATACAAGCGCATTGGTGCGCGCTATTTTACGACCTGGAGCCAATTTCAAGCCAAACACTCGAAAAGTACCCCTCTTTTGAACACCCATAACTTCGTTGAAAGTAAAGCTCTCGGAGAGGGAAAGTGGGAATGAGTGGAGCTTTGGCTCTTGTTACCTGAGTTTGAGCGATTTCAAAAACATTTCTTTTCTAGGAATTTTTCTCCGTTGTGATCCTCTTGTTATGGGGGCCAACCACAAGTCGCTACGCTTTGGACATCCATGGCAAGCTTCATACAAGGCCTTTCGTAAAAAAGAACTGTGCCGGAAGCATGAAGCTTTCTACTTCCCAGCGAAATTTTGATTTTCTCCCTAGGCCTGCTATACTCCCCTACTACACGAAAAATCAACCCCTCCGAGGCCATGAAACCTCCAGTTGCTTGAACACTTTGGTATGCTTCTAAAACACATGTTTTCGTCAAGTATATCAGGTAATAGTTCATTGGGCTCTAATTGGCATCACCTCTGCAATGCGCCATGCATAGGGCTTTCAGGCAGAGGTGTTGGGAAGGTGCAACTTCTAGATAGGGCTTCCTAAGCGCAAGCACATGTGTTCCTGCGATCAGAAAGGTCTGAAAATGTACTTTCATCTGTTTATTGATCGTCACGTCGTGAGTCCTTTGGTTTATTTATAGATATGGTGCCCTTGTGGGCGGTGATCGTAGCTCCTATCATCGCCCCTTCCTCGTACGTATTGTCAGTATGCTACACCAGCGCCAGAGTGCTGGACGTGCTTGGGACGTACGTAGGTACTGCGACCTCCCCCCGCTCAGCAGCAAAATTTTGTAAAAAAAACCCAGAGATTTTTTGGGGAAAAAATGGGCAAAGTGGTAGGAGGTTGGGAGAATCTAGGAAAGTGGAAGGTAGCATGGGGAGGGGGGTCGTACTTGAAGATGGAATTAGGGGGTCGTATTCAGGAAATGATCACAACGCAATGGCGTGCCCTGCCCCCACCCCTATTGGAAAATCTAAAAGGATGATATTCCCTGGTTGAGATAGAGATGACAAGTTGCTATTGCCGAAACGGTCCAGCGGGAGTCGTTAGATATTGCTTTCTAAAACTGTGACGTCGTGCTCAATGTAAACGATTGATTCTAAGCTTTTATTCTGATGTTCATGTTCCCACAGAGACACCTTTTTACTATGGCATTGAGTCAAGTTTAGTGAGGAGGTGATCTTCGACATCACTGCATGAGTAACAACACAAGCTTTTCAGAAACGAGGTTTGGCGTCAGGCTTTAACACTAAGTCGACCCTCTGCCCACAATTGTCGATTTCGTACATCGCCTCGCTCCAAGTGTGGAGAGTGCAGCAGTCGTCCTCCTGAGCATCCTCAAAAATATGCTGCAGACTGTCATTTCGTTATGTTACAAAAGTTACTTGTGCCAGAGTCCAAAAATTTGAAGTTGAAATTTAAATTGGAATTGAAGAATTGAAGAATTTGAAATTGTGAAATTTCGCGCACCGTCAAGGCGTGCGGCGGCTTGACCTATGTCGAAAAATCGCCGGGTATTAGCGGCGAGGTCCTTCAGTATATTGCGGGACTGTCTTCCTAGAATTAGCTCGAAGGATATGTGGATACGAAGAATACATTCTTTAGTCAACGTTGATAGAATTACCAACTCTGCGGGCCTCATTGCTTGCTCGTGTGTAGCGTCAAGAATGTCTTGAAGCGTATCGTACTTGCTGGTAAGTCGATTTTCCCAATCTGAGGAGCTTTTGAGTGCTCCGGTTCTTCCTCTAGCTTTTCTCCATTTTCTTTTTTATATTAGCCTAATAATATGGTTTATGGAGTTCCTCTATCACTCTCTCTGTTTCTAGCTTACTCGCGCTGCGGCCGCATATATTCAGTAAAGTTTAAAAAGTTTCTGTAGCTGCAAGTACAAAGGCTGACTCCTGGATGGAGGAGTTCCGCCCACTCCTGAGAAGGCTGTCTTACGCTTCGTTCCTGAACGCTTTGTCTTCTACAGCGAAAAAGTCAAAAATGAACAAAAAATAAAAATTTATTAACAACACGAATTCGTGAACAACCTGAGAGTGTAAAGGGGGCAGTTCTTAGATTAATATCTGCTTCACCCTGTTGGTCTCCTGATAGGAGCAAATGGGTTAAGCGGGTGCAGGTCTGATGGGTACTGCAAAGTGAACAAAGCTGTAAGTGTAATAGAATAAAGAGAGCAACTAGAGAAGCTGAGTCTAAGGGACAAAGGGGAAGCTCTGAGAGCCATATGACAAACGGAAATAAAAATGATTATACAATTAGTCTTCCTATGGATCACTTTACTTCTTTCAAAATCGGTGGCTGCGCGAAAGCAGGGCAATAACTGGTCGTACAGAGTGTTGCTTGATCATCTGGAAGCGATATGATTTTGTATTCGATCTGCTGCAGCCCTGCTATGTGTGTCAGCGAGAAGATCACCAGCGAAGTCAAGCATGTGTACTCCATTAGAGCGTCTCGAAGTGGCACTGAAATGGTATCAAATGATGACTGTGGTCTGACGGTGACACAATTCAGTGGCAAAGGACAGTAACAATAGTGATACCACCCTATGGCACATTTGATTAATTGCTGCATACTGGAGAGCATTCACTAAGTGAAATAAGAATTTCATCTCCCAAGCTGTTTGGTTGCTACCATATTAATACCTGAGGGCGAAAATGGTATCTTTCCCAGTGATTTGCGAACAAAACTACCCTAAAATCTTCATAAGATAGGAGCGGTCGCATAGATAAGAGCGGTCCATAGATAAGAGCGGTTTGTGCTAGAAAATGAAAATTGACGTTTGTATACGTTTTTTTTGGCGTTGTGTGCTCATGATTATCGCAATAATAGCCTACAACTCTACCTTTATTCTTACTGTTTTCTATCCTGTATCACCTGCTATGAAAACTCGTAAATAGTATACAGCAGCTTTCAAGCTAGACGCCGTCAATTATCGTGATTTGCATGGAACCTTGGCTTCTTCTAAATCTAAATCTTCTAAACTTCTTCTCCGATTTTTATTTATCCATCCATCAAGTTAGAGGGGTGACTGCATTCAATTTCAATTTCATTCCAATTCATTTTTCACCGGTAAATTAAACCGCTCTTATCTATGAGAGAGATTTTCTAGGGTACTGAACTTGAGGCACTATAGTGAACGCTTAATTAACTAAAGTTCTAAACAAATCGACTTGTATAATGAGCTATATGTACATTTGCTGAAACCCAGAATGAGTTAAACACGAGCTCAACTTTTAGCATTTTTCTGTTGAAGGAACGGTGCGTGGTGTACTTCAGAACTGATTCAATCGGCGCAAAAAAAATCGTACTTGATGTTCTTGCGTTGGTTTAGTAGCTCTACAGCGTTCGTCCGAATTTGTGTGCCCAGTCAGTTCATAATGAAAAACACTCCAACTTTCCTACGACATTGCTCGACGTGATATGTCCTACTTCCCGAGTTTCATGAGCGACCAAGAGAATTTTACGAACTTCACTCTGAGAAAGAACATGAGCCAAGAAAACTTTTCTGCAGTTGTGTCTTAAATCTCAGAATTCTGGTTTCATCGCTCTTGATAGATTTTCTGTCGAAAACATTGAGCCTTTACTAGCCTAACTTGTTAAAATCCTGGCTCGTGAGCATATTATTATCATCCCATCCTCAATTCGTTTCTGATTCAACTTTCTGCAATTTTTTATAGCATGAGTTCTTGCCACAGATCAAGCGCGTCATCGTAATAGAATCGAGACTGAGCCTCTGCCCTCTGAACGTGAAGGTTTACGTATCCAAGGTTGCGGAAAGGTACGTGCAAATGTTGTAGCACTCATATGCCACGAATGAGCATAAAGATGTAATAGTCGTGCCTCAGAAGTGTGTTCTCCCCCGTCACCAAATGGCTAGTCATTGGCCGCAAGAAATGAATCATCCTACACGTGTGGCAGGTAGCCGTAAAGAGCCAAGAAAATGGTGAAACATGTGCAATTACCGTAAGTATGGCAGGGCCGTTTGTGCAGGTAGCGAAGAAAGCTCGAATGTACAGTTGATGCACAAACTCCGAAGGCAATCAGGCAAGAAACCCTCACGTTGAAGAGCAGAGTAGAGAACTGGAAAATGAAGTAAGTTGAACGAAGGTTGAAGCGAGAATCTTATTACCTTTTTCTTCGGATTTATCACGTCTAGAGTGAGATGCATCACACCGCTAAGCAAGAAGAAACAGGCGAACGCGGGAAAGTTGTAACGCATTGTCCATTTCACTGAAACTTTCATATAGCTGCATACACGAGAATGAGAGTTATTTTTGAGTTTTGGGACCAAAAGCAAAGAATCTAATGAATGTAATGAGCAGAAAATGAGGAAAAGAATGTCGCAGGTTAAGATGCACAAGAACGAGGGAAACGATATTCCAGAATTGCATAGAGATCGAAAATATGTTTTCCCATAGAAGGACGGTGGACGGAAATAAGATCAAGGCAGTGACGTTGAAATGTGAACTACGGAAAACCGAAAAACTGGAAGGGATCCCGCGAACAGTGGTGTACATGCTTGTACATTTCTGTACAAAAGTTTTCTGTGTTACCGGTGGCAGCAAGACTGATCATACACCAGCAAGACAATTTTCGCATTTTGTGCGAAAGTAATTGTGCTTCATTCTGGAAGATGTCAGAGAATTCTAGAATTGCATCTTCTCATCTAGCATGTACGTGTTACCATCTATGACGCCTCTTGTAGGTGACCATCTGGCCCATTTGGAGCACCTTTTTGCAAAGGCTTCTTGCACCTGAAGAAACACGACACTACCGATTCATAGATATCATGCTCACGCATGCACACTCTGGTCGCTAATCGTGTCACACAAGAACACCGCTCAACATCTCATGCACTTCTATACTCACTGCAGATTCTGTTGATCACATGCGAATCGGACTTGGCTAATCACAATTGGACTACAAGGTTCAAAGGCGACGCTTTCTACTCAAAGTATAATAAATCATGTCGCTCTATGACGAATCATACCGCTTATCGCCCGGTGGAAGGGTCCTTCTTTTCTCGGCATGGTCAGTCGGAATTCACCACGGAACCAGCCTCCAAAACGGTCTCAAGATCTTGCTCGCGAAACACGAAAATAGAAGATATCTACTACCACCATAGTGCTTATATTTGTTAAGAGGACTATTTGACAGTTACAATAAAAATAATAACAATAGTAATATTAATAATAATAATAATTTAATTAAACTTCTTTATCATGAAATGCAATGTTTGTAATACTGTTTGGCTCACGTTTTCCTGCTGACCTGGAAGCCAGGCAGCTTCACTAATAGACGCATCCAAATGAATTCTTAAGAGTTACGCACCCTGTTCCCTCTGAAATCGTTCGGCATGAGTTAGTACACATGTTATAATCTCGTGTCGAGTTTCACGCCATGATGCTTTCATGCGTTGCGAATTGCCAAACTTGATTTTACATTCCCAACGCGTGAACCATGCAAACGATTTAGTGTACGACGCGGCGCGGCTGGGAGCGCAGCCAGTGCGGCTTTGTTCCAACGATTATGCCGTCCTGAGTCTACTACATCTGGTGGAACAGCGCTGCAAGCCACGCCGCCGTCCTGCGCGCGATCGCTCTCGGAGATAGCAAGTGTATATAAGCGAATTTAGAGCCAAGCATATCTCGCCACAATTGAAAGCACATTGAATTGAAAGCAAGTTTTAGCATGGCGTAAAAATTCGAATCGCAGAGCTCCTAATTGCATATGGAATGAAATGAAGATAATAGCAAGGTCCCGGTAAGCAGAAGATGCGGACTCGGGTCTCGTCTAGGGTCCGACTTTCACCTTTATCTGAGCGTTCTCGTGAAAACATTCCGCGCATTGTGGCGTTAGACAGCTGCTGTCAAACTTAAACAGCCTTAGAAAATAATAGCGTCCCCAGAGCGGTGTCACCCGCCTGGCACCCGTTTTTCTTTTTTCATTTGTTTCGAGAAGATTTCGTTCAGCGACATTTCTAAACAGAAATGCTTTGCCACACAAATAAAAATTGGTTTTGAACTGCCCTCGTTCAATTTGAATCAATCGAACCGTTTTCGATGGAGTGGTCAGTCAGTAAATTTAACCAAATGTAACCCGAATTGGAACTAATTCAGTGGGATTATTAGTAAAATTTCATATTCTTCTCAATTCATTTGCTATCCTGTCCCCACACTTTGTGGAAGTTTATTTCTTCTTCAACATGTATTTATGATCTAAAATGACAAACCGGGAACGAGTTGCAAGGATGTTTCTTGAAATTGTTCATTTGAATCGTTCCATAGATGCTTAAAGACAGTTACCGCGATCAAGTGATCCGCGTAGTGCATGAATTTGGCATTCGGGTCCGTACTCGCACAGAGTGTACCACTTTCGTCACACGAAACGGCGAGGTAAAGAGGCCGCAGTCGCGTGACCACCGCAACTTCTTTTCTTTTCACTTTGCAAGACAACGACTTGCAAGCGAGACTACGTGTGCTCGTTGTGTTGCCTGCAGCGTCGTGAGACAACTACATACATTCGCGGTAGACAATCCTGACTTGACGATTCTTCCGCGAGCTTTTGTTTGGTTATGTGGTATCTTGAACTTTTGCGCGTGATCTTGCTGCAGGCCAATAACGCAGACAGAGGACGGCGGCCAAAGCAGCGAAACATGAAAGAAAATTGTGATAAGCCAGAAAACGGGCTTTTTAAGAGAAGGTGACTCCGGGTTGGGTGGTGAACCACTTATAATCCATGAAAAGCTGGTATGTACGAAGTCACAACACTCACAGAGTACCGTACAGACGAGAGGGCAGAGAAAGACGGATTATCGACGCGTTCAAAAGGATTGAGTCTAAATTGTCCGTCAACCGATCTTTTTCAGATGAGTTTTGATAAGTACTAGAGTATGCGAGAAGCGATTTGTGAACCAGGGTTGCACAGAGGCCACAGGGTGTCAAGACGTCAGCAATTCAGCCGTTCGGAGCTACTCGTACAATGAGGCTATGTGACTGTCAGGGAGGTGTTTCGTTTCAGTTGCTCTCAATGTTTTCTCGCTTCTCACTCAAGTTTTTGGTTGCAGGTTCATGAATGGTTGCCAAGAACTCGTAATACTTGATCGTGGGGAATATTCTTTGATTTAGGAGTTCTGTGCACTCTACTGAGAATTCATTGGCAACTCTAGTTCTTTCCGTAAGAAAAGAGTCACTAAAACGCCAATGTTATTCTCCGAACACCAAAGTTATTCATATCCAGTGATGTTCTCCAATCCTATCACTACAGTCAGTCACACTAAAACGGGATCTTCTACCAAGAACTTTATTAGAAAATAAGAAAACAGCTCACTCCACTTCAGTTTAGTACGTAGCCCTCAATGAGGCGCCACCAAATGGGCTCCACGAAAAACCCACGGGCAGGCGCACGCGTCACGTGCTCATTGTCGCCACAACGATAACGCGACGAAGGTGAAACAAACGCCAGCAGCAATGCAGCAAGGCAATGAACTTTCTTGCTTCTTGCCGATGGTGGTAAACAGCAGTAGGACATGGGGAAGGAACGAAGCAGAACAACTGAGGACGAGGGGAAGGCACGAAGCAACGGTGAATGACTGATTAACAACACTAGAAAATGGAAGACAGCTGAAAAGCACATTCCGAGAATAGGCTAAAGATTTCTGGAGAGGTGTGCTGATTCCACAGGTGTCACCTATTGTACTAAGCACTGCACTCCCCAGCGCTACCGACAGTATATATGGGCTGGTAAAAAGCCAATCTATCAAGCCGCAGTGACATCACAGCAACATCGCTCTACACGCGCCACGTACGCCCTACCAGTGAGTTTTTCTCTTCTCCCTTGCGATACCGTCAGCTTCCCTCGAATCAGGAGCAAAGCAGTCTCGATTTCGTTTCAACAGTCTCATTATTAAAAGTAAGTTTAACAACGAACGTGTCTTATCCTGATCCTGATGAATTGTTGACATGAAGGCCAACACACACGAGCCACACAGTTCAATAAACGGCAGCAACCAGCATAAAATTTTAAGGCGCTTCTTTGCTCCAGTATAGAAGAGGGCAAACATAGATTGCGTCAGACAAATAACGAACTGAAATTGTCAATTCGATTATGAGCGGCTCCCAACGAGTCACATCTCTAGTTCTTCAGATTTTCTATTAGGATAACTCATGAGTGATGTTGTTTTTCTCTGAGATAGAAAGTTGAGAGAAGGATGGTGAGATTTTTCAACACCTTTTACACCATTTGCTGAGGAATTTTGTTCAAATGGAAATGGTTAATTTTTACAACTGCATTTTTTGCATCATTGAGGCACTGGAGCAGCAGAAGCTTAAAATTGGTGATTTCTGTGACCGGGACTATTGTGTCCTGGGAGGGCTTGAGCTCTATTCAAGCGCTTTGGAGCTGGGCTCTTCTCCCATGAATATACATCGCATAGGAAGCTTGCTTGTGCACGATAACTCATGCTCCAGGGTTCCTCAACCTTTTCCATCAGCCAAAGGAGCTAAGCTCCAAGCGGTCTCGGAAAAGCTTTCTGTGCGATGATTTCCTGAAAAACCAACCTCAAAACTGAACCGTGGAAATTTTGGACCTTGACAGCGTTTCATTTTCGCTGAATCGACGGACTGTTAGACATTTATTTTCATCGCGGAACGTTGCTGCGTTTGAAATTCAGACGTATTAGACTAAGTGATGCAACTCAAAAGTGGGTCTCCCACTTCGAGTTGTGTCCAGAGTGTGGAAGCGCTACGTACTTGAATCAATCCTATTCGTCTCACCTGCGGAATAGATTGCGTGTTTTGCAGCAGCTATGTGCACTTATACTGACGTCTACTCTACTCCAACTAGAGATTATTGCGAGAACGCTGGACGAAATTCTTCACCGAGGGCTGAAACCAAGCCCGCACATCACGCTTTCCTGGCGCGTATGCTACCCGTCACGGCCCCAGGGCCTCATACTAGCCGCGCGGAAGGTAAGCGGAAGGCGTGTAACTGCATAACCGGCTCATAACGTTAAAAAAAGCGCAAGGCACTTCCCTATTCTTCTCTCAAAGATGATCTTCGCGTACCATGTTTTCAAACTATGCCTGGTTAACATCAAATAATGCGAACTGAGTTCCGTTTAGGTCACGCATTACTATTTTTAACAGGACCCATCCTCCCTTTCGTTACGTTGTATTTCCTCTTTCGCTCAACTCCTTATTTGTTTCTTGCACCCTGGAGAATCTATAGCTCTATCCCTAGCCC